AATGCTGTTTCTGCCTTCTTCATTTGATGCGTTTCACTTTCCAAACCATCAAACAGCCAGTCACTTTTACCACCACCTTCAACATCTTTTCTCTGACTTTCTGACTGTAACTGCTTAAATGAACTATCTGCATCTCCTTTATTTAAATCACTTTCATTTTTTGTCCCCTTTTCCTTCTCCAACTGTCTACTTGGTCCTTTCTTACTCTGCATATTCCCTTTTATACCATCATCTGATTCTAAAGTCTTTCTCTGAGCTGATCTTGCTTTGGGTCTTCTTGGTTCTTTATCACCAAAAATATCAAAAGGGTCACTGGCAGGTGCCTTCTTTGGTGTCCTTCTCAGAGGACTATCAGGTTTTCCAGCAGATGGCATGTAATCCCCAAAACTTTCTTGTTCTTTTTTCTTTGCTTTACTCATATTTTTGTATTTATCATCCAAAATAAATTCTGAAGATTTTTTCTTATCTGTTTGTTTATTATCTGAGGCATTACTTTTTGCCAATAAGCTGTCAAGGAAACCTTTACCTTTTGGAGAGTCAGAAACAGCCTTTGTTTTTTTTTTGGACTCCCCAAAACCACTAAATAAATCATCATCATCATCAAAAGTGACCTCATCTTTTGATTTTTTTATATTCTGTCTAATGTGAGAACTTTCTTCTATTGCAGCATCATTACTTCCGAATAGCTCTGCCATGAGCTTGCTCTTATCTTTCTTTGCTGGTCCTACATCAGATGCAGAAGACAGTTCTGATCTACTCTTTGCTGGTATTTCTATTTTATCCTCAGAATTCCCAGTAAATAAGTCAGCCATTAGCTTGGTTTTGGTTAAGTTTCTTCTATCTTTGCCATCACTGCGAGTAATTTTGCTTTCAGGACTGGCTGACTTAATATGCTTACCTAAAATACAAATTTCAATAATAAATGATATATGCACATAAACAGTATTCACTTTACCTTCTTTTTTAAACATTTATATTCTACATTCTATCATTCAAGTATGTTAGAGAAGTAAAAGAAATCTCTCTCTTCATCATGCACACATTGAATAACTCTATCTTAGTACAGATATATTTTTTTTAAAAGGCTAGTAACTTACTCAACAATAATAAAAACAAATCTTCACTACTTTTTATTTGATGAAAACATCAAACTCTACCTGGAGATTTAGATTTCTGTGTTTTCATTTTTGGAATATCATCATCAGACTGCAAGAGATCATCAGCATCCCAATCTGGCAATTGAAAAACATTATTCATAATAATTGGACAACTGTAAGGAAAGTTAGAAAGTACTCATAATCATCACAATAAACTATTCCAATAAGCACAGTATGACACAAGTGCACTGGATTTATCAGTATTGCAAGGAAATATGAGCAATGAAGTAAATAATAACCATCATCCTCTTCTGGCTGCTTCTTATCAAATGTGACCCGTTGGCCTTCATCTCTGGTCATTTCCTTTTCAGCCGTAAGCTTGATCTTTGCAGGAGGCTTTTCAGAACTTTTAAAAACATCATCGATATCACCTAAATCCTGGTAAAAAGTTCATCAATTCCATTTTTTTTAACATAAATCATCTTCAGTTCTTAAAAATATACCTGAAATAGACTTCCTAATTTTAGCTTTTGACAAGTTACTATAAAAGCATAAAAGATACAAATGAGAATGAATATTTTCACAATACAAGAGATGCATTTAATCAGTTTCAATTATATTGTCGTCAGAAATACATGTATTTCTGACGAAGATTTAATTAAAACTGGTCAAATACATCTCTTGCATTTTGAAAAAAAAAAAAAATCTTTATACCTTTCATACATTTGTCAACATAAATATTGCGATACTTATCAAAAATATCATGTTTCTATTTCTGATTTCTGATCAAAGCATTATGATATGTGCATGAATAGTCTTTGGCAAGGAATATATAACAATTTGATCGGTCAAGATATACAGTATTTCAAGGTGTTTTTTCAGTGCACTTTCTTTGAAAATGGTTCAGTAATAACAATGTTTGAAAAATGCTAAAAATAAATCATCATCATCCTATTCTTTATATAATAAAAGAAGTTGCCAGCTAGAATTTTCATCAAGATAGCATGGGGCTACTTGTGTCACACTAATTTGTTTTGGGGATACCGGTACAAGATTTAGCATTTTTTGGTATATTTTTGTTATCAAGGAACAAAATTCATGAATCCCTTCTGAAAAAGCTGGTGATTTGTTTAAGCAAAATGTTCATTTAGCATTTTTCATATCAAATGTGTTTAACGGTTTATACTCTTAACCAAATAATGGGTCCAACAGGGGAAAAAGGATTAAATCAATAACTTTTTCTATCAATAAATTTTAAGAAAAGAAAATACAGACAAAGTAACTACTTACTGCCATTAACTTAGCCATCTCCTCTGGGTTGATGTCTGAGACAGGCTCAGAATCAGAGCCACTAATATCAAAATCACTCATGATATAGCAGTGCAATAAGCTGCTAAACAACTTCAATCTGCAAGAAATAAGTTCACAAATTATTTCTATTATTAACCCAATGGTGATGTGATACCAAGAAAGCATGCCATTTATAGATAATCTTTACTCAAAGATGGATTCACATATATACATTAACACACACACACACACACACACACACACACACACACACACACACACACACACACACACACACACACACACACACACACACACACAAATACCTATATATATATATATATATATATATATATATATATATATATATATATATATATATATATATATATATTTATACATATATATATATATATTGTAAAGGGTGTTTTTGACCTCTTATACATTGATAACAGGACAGTAAAAGATTGGTGGCTTGACTCTATTTATTCTGTAAGAGTTAGCACGCAGTTATATGTATAAACACAATGAGACAAGACTTGGGTTAAGCGCGGGGTCGCCTAAGGTCACTGTGCGGCCCCAGCCCAACGGGCCAAAGGTACCGCGGGGTGAACTGACGTGACGCTGGCAGGCGCTGGCGACTGACTCTTGTGATCGGTAAGGATAAGTCCGATATGCAAAGCTGAGCCTCGCCCGGGCTATGGGGGAGCCCAGCCTGTGCCGACTAATGTCGAATCACTAACAGTGTGTCAGCAGGTGCTGACTCGGATGAGCTTAGTCCTTACCCACCGTGGTGCCCAGCCAACGCAGTAACCTCCAAGCGACAATTGCAACTTCTCGCGCTTGGGCGGGGCGCGAACCGCCGACCCCTCGAAAGAAAGGCCGGCACGTTACCACTGTACTAGCCCGGAGGCTTGCGATCGGTCAAATGCGGTTCCTTATATCCGAAGAGAGCAGCGTCGCTTGGGTAAACTAGCGTGGGGCGCTCTGCTGGGCAGCATGGAATGGGAGCCACGCGGGCATATAATACATGGTGTGTGTGTGTGTGTGTGTGTGTGTGTGTGTGTGTGTGTGTGTGTGTGTGTGTGTGTGTGTGTGTGTGTGTGTGTGTGTAGATAGATAGATAGATAATCCCCGACTTAAGAACATTCTACTTACGAACATTCCGTACATACAAACGTTTTTTTTTTTAATACTTGAGTCCAAAAAAATGTTTGAAAGATGCTAGCAAACTTTTAATTTCCCGGGCGCGAATATAGTTCACGAGTCTGCCACGCCGCCGCGCTGCCGGCTCACTCAGCTGTGGGCATCACTCCCCAGCCCTCCGGCTATAAACACGAAAGTATCTCTTCACTATGTCAGCCTCCGGGCTAGTACAGTGGTAACGTGTCGGCCTCTCATCCGTGGGGTCGGCGGTTCGCGCCCCGCCCAGGCGCGAGAAGTTGCATTTGTCGCCTGGAGGTTACCGCTGTGGCTGGGCACCACGGTGGGTAAGGACTAAGCTCACCCGAGTCAGCATCTGCTGACACACTGATAGCGAGTCGACATTAGTCGGCACAGGCCGGGTTCCCCCATAGCCCGGGCGAGGCTCAGCTTCGCAAATCGGACTTATCCTTATCCTTCACTATGTCCTTGTACCGACATTTTTTGTGCCATAATTCGCTTTATCGGTGCATCAATCCTGCAAAAATGTCGGGTGTGAAGAGAAAGATAAACGGTGAAGCCAGTGAAGTTGCCAAGAAATGTCAGGCTATAACTTTATGGATCTTATCAATCGGTTCGCCAGCCAGTCGCCACTACATTATATTTTCTTTTTGAATTAATTATGTTTCTAAAGTTGTATAAATAACCATCAAATAATATGAACCCTTTCACGACGGGTGACGCCGCTAGGTGTGAAAAGAAACCGGACGAAAAGTGCCGTGCGGCTGCGGCTGTACGCGGAGGCCAAACCACTATAATATATTTTCTTTTTGAATAAATTATGTTTCTACATTAAAGTTGTATGAATCACCATCAAATAATATTAAAAGCATTACATATTACAGGTACTGTATAAGGTATGTCGTACTTATTGGGATTTATGTACAGGTATTCCCAATGTAAACAAAACTTTAAAACAATGGGAAAAAAGGCAATGGAGACCCGACTTTCGACATACTGTCAAATCGACTTCCGAACAGCCTCTCGGTCCCCATTATGTCCATAAGTTGGGGAATTACTGTACATACAAATATCTATCTATCTATCTATCTATCTATCTATCTATCTATCTATATATATATATATATATATATATATATATATATATATATATATGTATATACATATATATATATATATATATATATATATATATACATATATATATATATATATATATATATATATATATATATATATATATATACATATTAAATGTAATATATATATATATATATATATATATAATATATATATATAATAAATGTAATATATATATATAATAAATGTAATATATATATATATAATAAATATGATATACATATATATATATATATTTATATATATATATATATATATATATATATATTTTATATATGATGTATATACATATATATATATATATATATATATATATATATATATATATATGTATATATATACATATTAAAAGTAATATATATATATATAATATATATATATATAATAAATGTAATATATATATATATATATATAATAAATGTAATATATATATATATAATAAATGTAATATATATATATAATAAATATGATATATATATATAATAAATATAATATATATATATATATAAATATAATATATATATATATATATCCCAATGACGCCGGGTGTACTAAAGGAAAATAAAACTCTACGCTCTGGCAAACAAAGGCAGCGCGCCGACTTTGAGCGCAGGAGTACGGGGCGTCAGCCCGAATCACTGGCTCGCCGCGCTTTGGCGCGCCGCCGGCTGGTTTGGCCGCACGCCACCTTTCGAGCGATTTGTTTACACGCGTATCGCCGTCACCCGGCGGCAAGGGGATATAATAAATATAATATATATATAATAAATATATATATAATAAATATAATATATATATATAATAAATATAATATTATATATATATATAATAAATATAATATATATATACATAATAAATATAATATATATATATATATACAATATTTGTATGATATAAACAATATATATATATATGCTGTGTGGTGCAGCGGTAGCGATCTCGTTTAGCAATCTTGCTGACCTGCGTTCGAATCCCTCGCCACCAGTGGATGGTAACCCCTGCCATTCCTTGCACACAGGGGATAATTTAGAATGGTTAATGGTTAATGGTTAAAAGCAAGATAAATGTGCTAGACATCTAAGGTCATGTAGCACTATAGTTAACCCATTCGCGCCGGGTAAATTTTTTTTCACGCCGGGTGGAATTTTTTAATGAAATTTCTCTACACTAGATGGCTCTGCTTTACCTGATTTCATTTGGCGGGAAAATGTATTTTTACTAGTGCTATGAATATCGATGGTTATTTTTATTATAATCATTATAATTACTATCTTGTTATAAACATTAGTAACAGCAAAATAAGATAATGCAAATTAATTTCGTAAATTAAAGAAAAGGGTAAACAGACGAGACAGGCAGGATAGGTGGGGGAAAGCAGAGGTAAGGGCTGCTTCAAAAGGTGGGCACGACAATAGGATGTGTACGATTGAAAGGGGAACATTACATAAGGAACATAGGGGTGGATCAGATTGTGACATCAGATAGGAGTGTGTTAGACGGGTGTGGCCAATGCGTAAGCGGGCGAGAGCGGTCTCCCAACGTCTGTTCCGATGAAATGGAGCTGACCAGGAGGAGATTGATAGTTTTACAGAATGTAATTTATTAGTGTGGAGGCTTGACCAAAAAGATTGTCATCGCTTATACAAGAAGGTCTTAAAGTGTGGGTAATAATCCGTGGCTGGGATACGTGAGAAGCGTGGTTGGTATGATGTGGACATAGCAGCGTGGCGTGCTAGTGTATCTGCCGTTCATTGCCGGGGATTCCAACATGGCTGGGCACCCAGCAAAATTTGATTGTTTTATGGCGTGTGGACAGGTAGAACAACCAGTTCTGGATCTTACAAACAAGGGGGTTGGTGCTGTGTATTGACTTTATGAGAGTTAATGAGCTACAGGAGTCAGTAAAAATTGTAAAAGAGGAAGAGGAGAGTGAGTATATGTGTTTTAGGGCAAAAAGGAGTGCATACAGTTCTGTAGTAAGGACACTGGATTCAGGAGGAAGGGAGTATTTGAAAGTACGTTTTGGGAATATTACTGCAAAACCAGCACCCGAGGTGGATTTGGAGCCATCAGTATATACGTGTATACTAGAGGAATGGGTGGAGACATGGTCAAGGAAATGGATGAGAAGGACAGTAGGAGGAATATTTGATTTTGGTGGGTCGGGGAAGACAGAAGAGCAAATATGGGGGTGAGGTATAAGCCATGGAGGGACGGAATGGACAGAGAACGGGAGAGGTTGGAGATGGGGGAAAGGGGAATGGGAGAGGAGGGTATCCATGCGAGTGGAGAAAGGAGTAGGTAAGCGTGGAGATGAAGCTAAGGTAGGAAGTAGGGATTGTGGGATAGTTAGTTTAGTAAGGGGAAGTTGGTGGAAACGAACATAACATCGGAGAGAGAGAGATGGTATGCCTGATTCAGTATACAGGCTCTCAACTGGAGAGGAGCGGAAGGCGTCTAGTGCTAAGCGAAGACCACAGTGATGGATTGTGTCAAGATGGGCAAGGAGAGAAGTTGAGGCAGAGGAGTAGATATGGCATCCATAATCAAGAGTGGAGAGGATCAAAGTAACATGAAGATGAAGAAGAGTTTTGTGATCTGAGCCCCATGATATATGGGATAGAGTTTTTAAAATTCGAAGGCGGCGGAGAGCTTTTTCTTTAATGTGTAGAATATGGTCTCGCCAGGTCAGTTTGGAGTCAAAAATGACGCCTAGGAATTTGCCAGAGGAACGGCATTGGAGTGGAGTGCCATATAAGAAGAGTGGGGGTAGGGGACTTACACATGAGCGAGAGAAAAGGATGGAGAA